CGAATTTCGCATTCATAGTCATTTAGTAGCTCTACCCATCGTCGTTGCCTCATGTTGAGTTCCTTCTGATTGAGAATGTGCTGGAGACTCTTATGGTCAGTGAAGATCGAGCACTTTGTACCATAAAGGTAGTGTCTCCTGATCTTCAGGGCAAACACTACTGCTCCTAATTCGAGGTGATGTGTGGTGTAGTTGACCTCATGAGTCTTAAGTTGTCTTGAGGCATAAGCAATGACCTTTCCTCGTTGCATGAGCACACAACCTAGACCCTTCTTGGACGCATCGCAGTAGACCACAAAGTCCTCCTTTCCTTTTGGAAGAGATAAGATTGGGGCACTGCATAGGGCTTGTTTTAGCGTTTGGAAGGCAGTTTCTTGCTTCTTTTCCCAGTTGAAGGTCACTCCTTTCTGGGTCAAGGTAGTGAGTGGCTTTGCGATCTTGGAGAATTTTTGTATGAGCCTCTTGTAGTAGCCAGCAAGGCCTAAGAACTGGCTGATTTCCGTCGGTGTCCTTGGCGCTTTTCAGTTCTCAATTGCCTTGATTTTAGAGGGGTCCACATGTATCCCTTCCTCGCTGACCACGTGTCCCAGGAAGTCCACCTTTCGGATCCAGAATTCGCATTTCGAAAACTTCGCATATAGTTTCTCCGTCCTTAATGTCTCTAGGACTTGTCGTAGGTTTTGACTATGTTCTGCCTTACTTCGTGAATAGATTAATATGTCGTTGATGAATAATAACACAAATTTATCTAAGTAAGTTCGGTATACACGGTTCATTAGGTCCATGAACACTGTGGGCGCATTACTCAATCCGAAGGGCATCACTATGAACTCGTAGTGACCATAACGGGTTCTAAATGTCGTTTTAGGGACATCTACCTCCAGGACTCGCAGTTGGTGGTACCCCGACCTCAGATCGATTTTTGAGAAGTAGCTCTCTCCCTGAAGTTGGTCGAACAGGTCGTCGATTCAGGGTAGGGGATATCGGTTTTTGATGGTGAGTTTATTCAACTCCCTATAGTCAATGCACATACGAAATGATCCGTCTTTCTTCTTAACGAACAAAACTGGTGATCCCCAAGGTGAGAAGCTCGGTCTGATGAATCCTTTGCTCAATAATTCGTTTGGTTGACTGGACAATTCTTGCATTTCGGCCGGAACCAATCGGTATGGTGACTTGGCTATGAGGGTGGCTCCAGGAGTCAAGTCGATTTTGAACTCGACTTGTCGTACAGGTGGTATTCCCGGAAGGTCTTCTGGGAATACATCGGGAAAGTTACAGACCTCTGGAACATCCTTGATATCCTTCACTTCCCTCTTATTGTCGACAACGTGTGCTAGGAATGCGTGGTACTTATTGCGTAGATAGTTCTGAGACTTGATGCAGGAGACGATTCGGAGGTTTGTGTCGGGTTTGTCACCGTAGATGACAAGGGTTTCGTTATTCGGTAGGTTAAGGCGAACGACCTTTTCGTAACACATGATATCGACATGGTGAGGACTTAACCAATCCATGCCAATGATGACGCCAAAGCTTCTTATTGTAACATGCATTAGGTCGATTTGGAAGAAGTGATTGTTTAGGGTTAGAGTGCATCCTATGTATACATATTTTGTGCTTTCAGTTTTACCATTTGCCATTTCTACTGTGAATATTTCGTTGAGTGATTGTGGCTTTTGTTTGAATTTGATAGCTGAATTATCAAGTTGTTACTTTACTAACCCTAGTTAGGGTTTAAATTTGATAATTAGCAATCCAAAGGGATACTTTGTATTAAAATTGCAAGTTTGTACATTAGGAAACAAAATGCTTATCCAAAAATCTGAATTCTAGTCGTGTTGACTTGTTGACTTTGTTTGACCTAAAGTTGACAGTTATCACAGGAAATCACGTAGTGTTCTAGGAAGGAAACGATTTGTTAGGAAATCACGTAGTATTTTTTTTCCAGGAAAATCCTTAGCTAATAAAACGACGTAGTTTTATGAGGTTTAGTACCTAAGCTTAGGTGGGCTGTAATGTATATTCACTTTTCTCATATATATATATATATATATATATATATATATATATATATATATATATATATATATATATATATAGACACACACACACTAGTCGTTACCCACGCAATGTGACGGGAGACGTTAGCTTTTTTTGCAGATTGTTTTTTTCTGGTGATTTGTTTCCTTTTTGATGGAGAAAAATAGAGTTTTATTTTGACGATTAGTATCATTTCAAGAAAATACTTTGTAAAAAAACACATGATGCATCTGTAATATATCGATTACTATTAAAATGTGTATATTGTATGTTGTCGACTTTGGTTAAAAAAAATAAAAGTATAATGGTATTATATGCTAAAAGTATTTTACTATTTTTGATAAAATTATAAGCGTGCATTACTATTTGAGTTTAAAATATAATTATACTGATGTTTTGCATTATATACAAAAACACGTGGTTTTGGAATATATATAACTTTATTGTTGTGTTAGGTTATATATATATATATATATATATATATATATATATATATATATATATCTATATATATATATATATATATATATATATATATGCTATTGTTTTTGGTTAAAAATGAAAATAAGTTCATATTGTTATGATCAATAAAATGGAGCACAATTTTTGTAAATCTTTGGGCTTAAGAAATGAAGGTAAGTTTTTAAAATATATGTAGGTTGGTGATATACCTTGCTTTCTTCATCTTCCAAACTGATATTATTTGAAAAATAGGTATCCATCTTAAATGCGTTCAGATTTTAATCTTAATTTTTTATCCCCGACTTAATTATTTTATCATAAGATACATTTTCAATAGCTCTTTTGATTTTATAATATTTTCTCTTAAAAAATCAGCTTATTGTGGTAGGAATAAGCAAAATAAGCTGATTTTAATAAGCAAGGGGAATGTTTATTGCTTATTGCTTATTGTTTATTGGTCATTTTACTCATATAAACTGTTTTATTTTGCCAAACACTTAAATGCTTATTGCTTATTGCTTATTCCCACCACAATAAGTTAATCCAAACACATTTTAAAAAAATGTTTATTCCCACCACAATAAGCAAATAAGCAATAAGCTAAAAACTATTTATCCAAACATCCCTTAGATTGACAAATTGGAAGTTTTAAAGCACAGATTCTGAAGTCACTCTCTAATCTTGACTTATTAATATATTTCCCCACTATACTCTTATATAATTTCTATTATTAAATGCATTCTCATGGATGCCAAATTTGGCAAAAAAAAATCTCAAATATACTATAAGAAACACTAAAACCTACCCATTCTTTTTGACGCTATTTATGAATGGGTTAACCTGTCTATACCTCTTTAAAGATTGGTTTACATGATTGAATTAAAATTACAATTACAAAGACTAAAAAGTAATCAATGTAAAAAAAGTAAAAGTAGATTACATTTACAAAGTTTATGTTGAAAAGAAATCTAGCACCCACTACAACCATTGCTTCGATTAACAACTTAGATTAATATGCTCTTCCAGAAAAGTAGGCATAGACCTGAAAAATATATATTTCAACAGTTTACATAATTATATTCATAATACAATATCCTAATAAGGAAAACTTAGAAAGTAAAATGCAATGTATTAGTCTTTAAATTCCCAAAAACAGAATTTTCTAAACTTTTGCTTTTTTGTTATTAAAGCGTCACACTTCCAATAATTTGCTTATTCAAGATGTTTGCATTTCCAAACATTCACCCAACACCCCATTTAAACCAAAAAAATAATTAAAGTTTCATTATAGCATCATCTAATTTACTTATATAGCATCCTACTTTTATTCACGGGCCCCCATCAATTCCTTTGAGTTTCATTATTGCGAACGTACTCCCCAGGCGGGATACTTAACGTGTTAGCTACAGCACTACACGGGTCGATACGCACAACGCCTTATAATATAAAAACAGATGAAATAGAAAGAAAGGTACAAATAGATAAAATTATTAAAGTAAGTTTCTATTTCTTGCATATAACCCAAATTAAATGAAATAAATAACATCTTAAATTCATTCATTAGCAAGAAATAGCAACTAACTTCCATTTCTTTGCATAAACTTCCACACACAATGTTGATTCTTATAAAACCAAATTTGAAAGTACAATGCTATAATATTTCTTTTAATATTTTAAATTTTCTCTCTATTAAAGCATTAAGCATTGTACTTTGAAAGCACAATGCTATAATTCGGTTCTTGTTTGCAAAGTAAACCCAATACTAGCGTTCATAATATAATGTTTTAATTACTTTCAGTTTTCCTTCTCTTAAACTCATTTTTTATTTGAAAAGACTCACACACACATACACACACAGAGTCACACTCCCACACAAACAACCACATAAAGTCGCATACTAAAAAAAACATAACACATTACACATATTTTAGAAAGGCCTTACTGTTCTTTACTCTTTATCAGAAGCATTTGCATATACAGAAGCCAAAGCACCAATCAGCATTAGCCGTGTCATTCCAGGGTAACAGTACATTCTTCCATGTGTAACCATCTATTGTTATTATTATTCCAAAACCGTTAGCTTTAAACAAACATAATAAACAATTAGGGAAACCTTGATATTAAAGCATAATTGTCTCACAATAGTTAAGTTTTTGGATTTAGGAAAAAAAGAACGTCTTTTTACCCAAATATTTAATGAGGTGTAACCTACAAACAATTAATACATAACTAATGCTTAAACAGTTGTACCTTGGTATTAAATAGGTAACTGCAAAAATCTCTAATTAGTCTACCAACAACATGATGAAGTTCTAATTAAAGTTCATCAAGAACTTTTGAAACAAATAACAATTAATCTTCTTCTGTTGTACTAATTTGATAGTAACTTCATCATAAATGATTCGAACATCCACATCTATGTTCTTCAATTTCCTCTTAATCCATGAACTCAATTTGGATAGTAATTTGATAATAATTTGATAGTAACTTCAATTACCTCAATCTGTGTTCTTCAATTTCCTCTTAAGCCATGAACTCCTCTTCTGTTGGACTAATTTGATAGTAACTTCATCATACATGATTCGAACATCCACCTCTGTGTTCTTCAATTTCCTCTTAATCCATGAACTCCTCAATTTGGAAGTCAAACTACCATTATACACTTGTTGATCAAGATCCTCACCACCATCTGAGTATAGAAATTTTGTAGCAAGACTCCTTATTTTCTTTATTCCTAAGAAAAACAACAAAAGTGGGTAAAAACTTTTAGTCTACAAGATCAAACACCCCCCCCCCCCCTCGTTAAAGACACACACATAGGAAAACATGGACACAAAGATCTATCACAAAACAATTTAAAAAAAACATCCAGATGAATACAAACCAAAAGCTAAAATATATTTCATTCTCTAGTTGTTTGTAGAAATTTACGTTTTAACCTCCCTTCTTGGATGAAATGCAACATCATGGTATATGGTTACTTCAACATCAACACCATCCAACTGAATACAAGTGAAATGACCATCAAGATTCTAAATGCAAAATCAAAAAGGAAAAAACAATGAAAATAAGATCAGACGATAAGGTTTTCTACCTTTTATAAAACAAAACACTACTAGAAAAACAGCCTTTTACGACGCGCAATGTGTGTCGTAAAACGCTCAGACGACGCGCAAATGCGCGTCAAGGAAGGCCCTGTCATAACGAGAGATGACACGCTTTTGCGCGTCGTCTATAGACGACGCGTATTTATGACACGCAATGCGTATCATTAAAACCCCTGTCAAGAAAGGCCATGTCATAAATGAAGATGACACATATTTTTGCGTATCGTAAATTTTAATGTTTAACAAAAATATATTTATATATTTATTAATTTTTAAATTAAATTTGCATTTAATGTCTCATAATAGAAATAAAATACCATATACAAAAAATACAATCCATTGCATAAAATTTAATGTCATACAATTCTATTTCTTACAATGTATAAATTTGCATTCATCTAATCTACTCTGTGTTTCATAGTAACAATTGAAATGAAGAATGCAACACTTGCATTTGCAGCATCTTATCTCTTTCAGCTTGAGCTTTCTTTTCCTCTTCTAACTCCAGAGCTATTCGCTTTCATCAATCCTGTAAACACAACACAAAATCACTTGTCATTTTCATTCTACTTTTAAAATTAATTCTTATTAGGACATTCTACTTTTAAACCTACCAATCTAGCAAATTTTTCAAAGAATATAATTTATAATTTTTTTTTATGGAAATTACATTGCTATTTCTAGAAGTAACAAACCATGCTGATTATAATGGGCTTCCTGCAACAACAAAAATTATTATAGTTTTTGTTTTTTCAAGACTGTTGAGTTAAATAAACACATTTTAATAAGTAATGTAATGACATACTATTACATTAAGAAATTCGCCAGGTTGGAAGTCCATGATCTGCATGATTACCTCTCCAGGGGTATCAAGAAGTGGCTGCTGATTGTTGGAGCCAACAATTGGCTTGGGAATATGATCTTCTAGGTAAGCATACCTACACAAAAGTTAAATTACTTTTTAGCCCTTGTGGTTTATTGATAACACACACACACACACAGATGCAGGATGAAATAAAGAGAAGGAATAACATACCTTCTTTCAAATACAACAAGTGCAGAAGATTCATAACTCCTAAAGTGATGCTTTGAGTTAGGAGGTAGGTAAGCAAACGAGTCTACCTACAGTTCAATGACAAATATTAACTATTGAGGAATACATTTACTTGATTGAAGCATTTTTCCCTCTTCTTTATAACAATGCCTTTCAGGAATGCTATTCAACTTCAAAATTTGGCACAAAACATGTAACTTTAATGTTCATATAAATCTTACTACACAAAAGAAAATTCAAGATTAAAGGGTTGTTTACCATCAGTGTTTAGCAAATTCCTGAAACATTAGTGAGAATCACCAAACCTTGAACCACAAATACAAACCTAAATGATAAACATAAATTAAAACACAACTCGAGTCACACTATGATCCAAAAGAAACTTGATTTGATTATAAATGGAGGGGGTCATTAATACCTCTCAACATGTTTAGGAGGTAGCCCTGATTTTGAACTTTCTGCACAGATGAAACCAATCATTTTGATGATAAGGAACTCCTTCATCATTTGGCTTTACAGAATTAATAATCAAAAAGTAAAATATAAATGCACCTTGCATCTTTGCAATATACATAACAAAATGAGCTCCCATTGCTGGCGAGACTAAATAGGCCCCTATCTCTTCAGTTGTCTTCCATGAGACTGGAGAGGAATTTCAGTCCCCTCCTAAAAGAAGAAATTCTTTGCATCAGGTCAAATGGATTAATTTGGTCAACCGTATACCCATTATATGGTTCTGTTTAATACAATAGAAACAAATCAAAATACATTAGATCACATTATTTCAATTTCTTATCTAACCAAATCATTTTATTACATTATTCATAAAGCACACTACAATGATGACATGTGAACACGTACTGGGTAATAATTTCCAGCAACTGGTTCATTCACTTGCAGCTCCCAATCTGTTCTGAAATCACGAACCTGCAAAATAGTAAATTTTATCATGTGAGAGACAAGTACAGAAATAACCATCTATAAAGTATATACCCTTTTAATGAAGTCTTTCCTGTTAGAATCTGTATAGAATGTTTTGTTTGTCTTCAAGGCACTTGTGATCTGAGTTGTTATTTCTTTCCCAACACCATCATCTATAGGGATAGGTCCAATCTAATAGTACCAAAAATAAGATATGTAATTAGAGAATACACACACACACAGAGATACACACATTCTGGTCAAGCGTCAACAGGAAACTACTACAACTACATTAAATCAAAAGGGAATAAAATTCTTACGATAAACTCAACTTCAGCATGTTCCTTCTCCTTGTATACACGGGTGACCTGATATATCCATGAGTTTAACTGGTTAAGTCACAAACAAACTCTTTTTTAGCCCTCAAATTAACCAAAACTCTCTCTCACCCATTCTGTGAGGCATTGTTGGCCCTTAGGCCGGTTAATATCCACTACTTTTCGACCAGAAACAAGCTCCAAGTGTACTACACCGAAGGAATATACATCAGCCTTTTCAGTCACCTCCCCACTTTCCGCATACTCTGGAGCTAAATATCTAAGTAATGGCAAATATACAATTTTCTTATTCACAATAGGCTAATTCCACAACTAAATGCAATGCTTTCGGGAAGATTTCAAAAATTAGACCAACTTTATAAATTATTGTTTCACAAATCACAATATTATGGAAATAGCATAAGGGAAACAAGAAGGCTTGCCTACCCGAATGTTCCAATTACTCTTGTTGCTTCTCCTTTGTCTCCATCAGGCTGCCACCTTGCTAAACCTAGTAAAAGCTTTCTGTAACAAAAGAAATCATTAGTCACTTGCAACAGACAACAGTAGTGGATAACTACCCCAAAAGAGTATGGTTTACCTGCCCTTGAGATTTTATTGGAAATGTGGCATTAGGACGGAAGATATAAGCTCCAGAAGCCTTCAAAAATTAGGAACAACATCAGAAAATGAACAAAATTCATGTAACTAACTTCACTACACACACACAAACACACACATTCTAGTTGAAAAATTGAATATACCTGGTCTGTCCCATTATAACCAGAATAGTAGCTGTACGAGTGTTCCATGGCTCCTTCAACCTTCAATCATGTGCCAAACATGAGAAAATCAATGTGAACAGAGGAATCGAGCAGAAAACCCTAGCTTACAGATGAAATCAACATAAACAGTTCAAATTTAGATGAGAGAAAGAGAAGGTACGGTGCTACGGCGGCAATGGCGAAACCAAAAGCAACTAAGCATAAGATGATAACTAGAAGATGAACTAGGGATGAGCCTTTTCATTCGCCCATCTTTCTTGTGCTGCTGCTGCTGCTTCTTGGTTGTTTGTAGAGAGAGAAATAGTGGAGTGAAAAAGGGTGTGCTGCTGTTGATTAAGTAAAAAATGGAAAAAGAGCGGCGAGAGACATACCTTCTTTGAGAAGTGAGAGATCCAATGACGGTATTTTATTCAGACACATTGTTGGCGTAGTTTCTCTTGGCATAATCGTCGGCGGAAACGGCAAACTGACGACGGCCAAGTGCTGCGAGCAGTGGTTGGCGATTGGCTAATGAACCAACAACAGTGAAAATGACTGCGATTGGCTAACAAAAGCCCTAGTTCATGGGTGCGCACTTGTGAGGTCCAGAGCATAAAAAGTAAAAACCCTAGTTCTTCTTTGATATCGGGGACAAGAAAAGCCTTAAAATCGCCGGCGTTTCGAGTTTGAGGAGTCGTAGACCCCCAATCGCCGACTCCATGAAATATATTGTGAGGTTCGATTTTTGGGGAAGGGCAGGGTACTTGAATTTTTTGGGGATTTGGTTTCCCCCCTTAGTTGCATGAAAGAGGGACGCGCATATTAAAATTTTATAAAGCGACATCTCTACACGACACCCACTTAAATTTATGTGGCTTCCGTGTTTTTTAATTTTTTTCCGTTGAACATTAATTTTAGGGCACGCACAAATGTGTGTCCTCTATCCTTCAAATTTTGCAAAACTGACATTATTTTTTAGGGCACGCACAAATATGTGTCCTCTATCAGCGCGTGTCATTGTTTGCGCGTCATTAAAGAGCTGTTTTCTAGTAGTGAAAATTGTACCAAGGCTGAAGATGGCCGGTGATGATTGTGTATGTGGCCATTCCTGGTGGTTCGTGGTGTCGTCTGTTCGTCGGTGCTTAGAACTTACACAAAGCAGTAGTAATTAAAAGAAAAATAAAGTATTAAAGAGATAGATCGTTAAAAAATCAAGAAAATATGTCGAACCCTAAAATCAATACCTTGATCATAGTGTTGGCGTCGAAATGGAAGAGAAACATAGTGGGGACGACTGTGAAGGTTTAGGCAGATAAGGTGGACCAAAGATAGTAAGGTGGGGGATTGAAGCAGTGAGAGCAGCTGACGAGGAGGGTATCCGTGATGGTGGGAGGTGTTAGGTTTCCATTGGAATGAGTTTGGAGAGAGAGAAAAAAAAATATTCACTTTAGTTTTTGGAATTCAACTATCGCAACATTCTCCATGCTTTAAAAAACAAATTCATCGGATTAAATGTGAATTCAAAAGAAAAAGACCAGGTCAAATTCAAGATAAGTAAAAATAAGAAACACAGAGGTGAAAGGAGGGCTCGGTCAAAAAGTCTAGTTATGCATTTAGTAATTGTAATTTATAATACTATTAATTGTTTGTTCCTCTAGGAACAGTAACTCTTTATGATTGGACCAACAACATTTTCTTATTTTTTTTTTTGATCAGTGGGGTAAACCTCCTGAAACACATTTAATTTTATATATAAAATCTGGCCAAGTTCTGAACGGTAATCTATAACTTTTCCACCGACTTCGTAGACGAATACCACGTGTATTTACCTAAAATCGATTGGTGTCATGTCTATCCTCCCCCACGGTACCTGCATTAACCTTTATGGAACGTGTCCTGCTTCATCTTCCGATAGGTGTCTACCCACCGCCATCACTTCTGGAAACGAATTTATCTCCAAAAAGGCATCGATCGATCCGGCAACGACCCTCACTGTTATTTCTCCAAAACTTTTTCTTTTACTTTGTTTTAACTTTGATTTTAGGGCTTTGTTATGTACAAGAGATTTTCTATTATAATCCCCTTATATGTTTTCCTTATCTATTTTTTTAGGATGTATGTTGTTGTAATCCTTACGCTTGCTGACGTCTGTTGTGATTAAGGATAATTTTGATCAATGATGCTTCTGGTTGTATATTTGAGTATGGTTCGAAGAAACGGATGATGATTACAAATAGTTTTTGTCATCTCGATTTGATTGTAAGTATCTCACCTCAAATTTGTTTTCTATTTTTGGACTTTGTTGTTTTTTTCTAAACAACACTTCTTACCTTTTGAACCTCGGTTTCATACACTTCTATCACTTTTCTGTTATCAAAGCTTCTTGACTAGGGTAAATATGGAAAATCATGTGATATGTATGTTTGTGCCAACAAAGTGTTTGAGGAAATGCATTTTGTGTTGATGTGCCTGATTGTTAGTTTGTTGACTGCATAATTTTAGAATATTGCATAAATTTTTATAATTGAGGCTTAACTATGTAACTTGAACTGTTTTATTGTAGTCTTATCACTCCCTCCGTTCGGGACATTGACGACACTCACGTTCCAGTAAGCTGGAGCATGAGACTTTCCGATTTGTTTGTCACCCCAAGTAGATTCAGGTAACATTTTATTTCCAACTATTCTTCTAAAAAAACATTAATATATGAAATCGTCATTCTACAATCCAGAAAACAGTTAAAAACGAGCTTGAAAATCTCCAAAAAGATTAATACTTTAATTGCTTTGGTTATTACCGGTGCTTTTTCAAGGGAAATTAAAATAATCAAAGGGAACTTTCTACAAAATACCTTAATATGTTAAAAACTGTGTTTTTTAGTTAGCTAATTAGCATTGAAGTGGTTGAATGAATTGGTTATTATTTAGTTGTATTAGCCCAAAACAAGCACCCATATCCCATATTATGTCATCTCTCTAATATGTCCTTTACCTTACAAAACATTTAGAGAGGTGGGTATGGGCAACGCCACAAGGGGCGTTATTTGGGTGTTATTGGGTGTTATAACATGTGAACACCGCTCCCCTTACCCGTTATCAGGCGTTATTAGTCTGCACGTTACTCCCCGTTACCACCATAACACGTTATAACGCCTTTTTTTTTGTCTTTTCCTAATAACGCCGGTGTGGGCGTTGCCCACACCTACCAGTCTTATGCTTCATGTGAGCAATAGTGTTTCACTTTTTATATTGTAAGGAGTAGTAACAGTTAAAGGTGTTGTCACATCTCTTAATAATTGTCAATATTTGACAGTTTGGATTTCTAAATTCTATTAAAAAAAATTAAATTGCGAATAATATTGCTTATTCATTTTGGGAATAAAGAAAAATTGAAGGCATTTAAGAAGCTTGGATATGATGTTGGCAGGTAAAGGAGGAAACATGGAGAAAATGTGATGTACCTTTAATTTTGAAGTTAATTGATTTAATTCGAAGTCTAAAGAGGTCTATATCATCATTTTATTAAGTTACATTAACGCAAAAGGACAAAATGGTCATATATTCTGATGTTGTTTTCCTTATTTTGAAAAATGTTTGATTCTTATGTTTTTGGATTTGAAGTGTTCATAAGCATGTTTTGTTTTGATGATTTTTTAAGATTCATGTAAGATAATTAACCTTTTCAAGGTTTTTGGTTTTGGTTTAAAAGTTCTTGAAATAAAAATGGGTAAAAGATGCTTCCAGTAAAAATTAATCAAGTTGCAGTTAGATTAGTTACTTAACAAAAGTTTGTGCCTTTTGTTTTATGGAGCCTATGTATTATATATATATATGGATTTAAAAACGGATCAGTAACAATGTAAGTAATTACAAGTATTTGCAGTAGAACAGACTTTGCAATCTCCTATAACAAACCTAAACAAATTTAACCGACACAAATCAAAACCCATGACCCATGCGGAGCATGGGATACCTTTCTAGTTACTGATTAAAGATTTGGACATTTAAAATTTTGATTATTTTATTTATGTTCGGTGGTACTTTCAGCTTAAATGTTTAGACGTCTTAAATCTATTTTTAGAAATAGTAAGGTTTGTATAATAATGTAGTAATATATATATATATATATATATATATATATATATATATATATATCATAATATCATAATCATATTATATTATAAAGGAAACATTTTTTCTTTTACCACATTCATTTGAAACTCCTAACTTTTCATATTTCCATACAATATGCTTAATTTATTAACTTAAATATGCTTTTATTTATAAAGGAAGCATTTTTCCTTGAACTTCATGCATTTGAAACCCCCACAAAAATTTGCAAACACCTCATGCATTTGAAACCTCCTATTTTAATGAATACCACTCAAAAGTCTCTTAATAATTATTAACAATTCAAAGGTTTTATAACTTATATAATATATTTAATAAACTATTAATTAATAGTCTACTATAAAAAGGTCAATCTCTTTGAGTAGACACACTAATACAAATCACATACAAACTTCACAAAGAAAACAAGTTTAAAGTTTTTTTTTGTGTTGGTTTGAGGATTTTGGACCATTTTTCGAGCCATGTTATTATGTTGAAGTTTTTTAATTTGTAAGTTTGTTATATACTAATTTTTTTTGTATTTTCTTGGTTTAAGTATTCTTTTAATAATATCATTGTATGTTGTAGTTGAAATTTTAATGTAAATTACATTAGATTCATGTTATCGATCATATGTTATCGAAGGTGATATATATAATATTTAATTAACTATTGTATATATGTTTGTATGTTCGTGTTGCTTCAAAGCAATAACTAATTAAAAATCATGGATATGTCATATTATCAATGTAAGCCTCTTTTAAAATGAAAATTGTCTATCTTATCACTTTATATTTTAGTATATGTTTAACATTTTAATTATAATAATAAATGTTTTCTTAAAGTTTGTTTCACTTATTTAATAATAATAAGTTGTCTTAAAATTAATGAACAATAATTATAAATAATAAAATCAAATTATAAAAATCATGGATATGT